GATGGTGGTGGGTTGGAGGGGGAGCAGGGGGGAGTACTTTTGGGGGGTGAAGAGGGGAAGGAGGCAAAGCCTCAAATTCTTCTCCATAACCCAATGCGGAGACTGTGAAGTAGCTCACTACTAGAGCTAGTGAGAGACGAAAAAGAGAGAAGGCTTTTGCCATTTTTTTTTCCTTGTTTGGGTGATTGGCTATGTGAGGGGGTGCGTTTTATAGGGGCTCATACTTAGCGCTTACAATGCATGTAGAGACACACGATTGAAAACGCGCACAAAATTAATAAGTTTAAGTTTACTATAAATAAGTTTATATCATAATTGAGTTAATACGATTAATACGATTAATAAATATATTAGGTTATGATTGGCCTCTTAATACGAAGTGACTCGAATTGATACAATTAACTATATGTGTCATCTGTAATATAATAATATGTGATATATCATAAAAATTTATACGACATATTAAATACAAATAATGTGAATTTTAATATTTGTAGGTAAAATTTATTTATTTATCTTAAAAAAAAGATAAATTGACCAATAAACATGTTAAACATGTATTGGCCATATTAAATAAGTTATTGTTAGTTATTTATTCAATATATTAATTTAAACGAGTTATACGCGTTGATACGATTAACACGATTAATAAATTAGTCGTGTTTGAGTTGGCATTTTTTATACGTTTAATAAATATATCGTGTTTAGATTGATATTTTTTGACATGATTAATAAATGGATCGACACAAATACGACCTATTAACAACACACTCCTACTCATTCTCACTTCGTAGGCCGTGATTCTCTGGAGTTTTTGTTGGTAAGATCTGATTTTCAAATCTCTTGTGGGGTTAGTAGTATTAGAGTAGAGTATAGATAGTAGACTTCTTTTCCAAGTGAGAGACACAGAGAAATATAAGCGTTCGTTTATTTTACTAATTTAAATTTTTAGTTTTAAATTTTTACAGTTAAAAGCTCTCAGAAAATGTCACATTTAATTTTATTTAACTTTTTTATTACAGTTAAAAATTCTAAAAAAATATCATATCTCAACTCGAATCTGCAAAGCAATAAGACCTAAATATATTTTTGATATATATATATATATATATATGAAGTATTGGGGTTTTATTTTAGAATGGCCAACATGGTTTCTTTTTTTATTTTTTTTAATTTGGATATGGCAAATATTAGATTAGCCATATTGCGGTGATGATTTGTGAATAGGGATGGACAACTGGATGCAGAGTCGCTCACATGCATAGGGGATTATGGGCCAAAACTTGGAATTTTTTACGCATGTTGCGAGGCAAGGGCTAATGTGGAAGTTTCCAAGGTCTTCGATTACTGAACCCCTTTAATTAATTGCAAAAATTATACTTTATTGTAAGTTCTTTTTTTTTTTTAATCTTGATTTGGGCAAGGTTCTAATTATGTATAGTATCATCGTTAAAAGTAAAATAAAGTTTTGAAAAGTCCATTTTAAAAGGAGGAAATTGAAAGCAACGTCCCGGAGACGAGACATTAGCCACAGGAAAAGGAAAGAGAGCCGTTTATAATGCCGAGGGCTTTGTTTGGATAAAAGAGAATATTGTACGTTACAAGAAGCCAGAGGCATTTTTGGCATTTTATCCTGGAATTCTTGTATGCTGTAGGGTCCGTTTAATTCTCTGATTTAAAATTTTAATTTATTTATATGTAATTTTATGTGAGAGTTTTTTACTGTAATAAAAAAATTAGATGTGATTATTTTTAAGAGGTTTTTACTGTAGTAAAATTTGAATTATAAACTCAAATTGATGAAATGAACGGAATTGTAGTAATCCACTGTACTAATAAGAGAGGGAAAAAATTGGTTTTCGATTGGGGACGAATTATTAAAAAAAAAAAAAAAACTAAAACTAAAACACCGCTGAAACAACAATAGATTATAGATATAAGGTTTATTAGTCGAAAAATAAAAAACGTGTCTAATCATCATATTCGAACTTAGAATGGTTTGTGGTCAAAAAATTGGGGTTATTAGATGCATGCTTCTAAACAGGCTTATAAATAGGTTCTTCTACTTCTTTGAGTACAGCTGTATTTTTTTTAACTTTTTAATGATTTGATCTATTCTCATCATAATAAAATTTCAAAGATTACCAAAACCTATTACTTAGTGACGTCCCGTTCACTTTGCTGATTCGAGTTTAGAATTTAAGTTTTTTTACTGTAAAAAACTCTCACAAACAATCACATTTAACTTTTTTGCTACAATAAAAAACTATTTAAAGTCACATCTCAACTCGAATCGGCGAAGTGAACGGGGCCGCCATAGATTCAGAACTATTTTCGTTTTATGTATGTTTTTTATGAGAGAAAAACATTATACAGAACTATGAATTATGATTCAAAATCATAAAAGAAACAACTCTTTTAAGTCTAAAGACCCTCGTTGAACTGTATAGTGCGTATATGGCCCAGAATATCTGTATGGTACGTATATGGCCCAAAATATCTGAGAACATCACTTGTTATCATGAATTGATAAATAAATAATCTGAAAGATACCTAAATTGATGGGGAAGCCACTCTCCCTACTTGAAAACAAGATATCGAATTGAAGCATTGGGGCCTCCACAATATAAAAACTTTCTTTAAATAATTTTTTTTTTTTTTTTAAATAACAAATTAGTTTTCTCCATTTTTTTACATCAAATTTTGCACTGCCTGTGGCTAAGAATCCGCGTGACATGCTACTAGAAAATCAAGGCCAATGTGGCCTAAACAAAATTAGTTTACTTGTCTCAAAGTTATGTCATAATTAATGCAATATAATAGAGGCATCTCTCCCACAACTTCCGAACCGTGTTTTGGGGCATTTTTGTAGGATGGAAGTGCTTGATTTCACTATAAGCGTCGGTGATCTATACCCATTGGCTGAGCAACTTGCAAGTTTCCAACAAGCCTAATAAATCCACTAATAGTTTTTCTTGTATTTTTTTTTCGAGATTATTAATTTACACTTGCGTAATCGTGATAAGCTCATATCATTGCCCAAAGAGTGGTCATCAAAGCACGTTCAATGTGGTTTTATTATATAAAATTATTTTATGGCTTATTTAATTCGCTAATTTGAGTTTTTAATTCGAGTTGAGATGTGATTTTATGTGAGAGTTTTTTACTGTAATAAAAAAGTTAAATATGACTGTTTCTAATAACTTTATATTGTAACAAAATTAGAATTATAAACTTGAATCGGTAAAATAAACGAGCCCTTTATATTTTTCATCTACCTTCTTACTCTCAGGACTCATCTTCAATTGCAATTGTATTGCTTAAAAATATGTCGTCCCAGAAACCAATGCTTTTTGGGGTAAATGCTTGACCAACTTTGGATCACTAACTTCATCATTTCATGCCCTGTATTTATTTTACCAAAGTCATTGTCATGTATGATTGTTTAACGTGGATATGCAAGTTGTAGAGAATCGTGTGGACGATCCCCCTTTATTGATCTCTCGGTCAAAGTTCATAAAAGATTAGACTTAGTTGTTAATATTTGATTAGCTTTTAACACTTTTTCAACTTTATTTATTTTAGAAAATCTAAGAGCATATTGTCAATTTAATGTGCCAAATAGTAAGTTTTAACATTTAATAAAAAAAAATCACTCTTTAATTTAATACTATTTTTTATGCCAAATTTATTCTGTGCTATTAAGTATAACATGTGACAAAATTATTATTTGATTGTTATTGGTTGATTTGTTTACCCTTTCATTTAATCATTATAGTATTTGCGTTTTCAAATTAGTTTAAAGTTAATAGTTTACTTTTACAACTTTTAAAATTTAATGATTTTGGCAAAAATTATATTCAATATGTGAAATGACATTATGCATTAGATTACAAACGGAAAAAAACATATCAAACATTTCATTGTCATATATCTTTTGATATCAAATATGTGATTGGTATAGCATTTACGTTGAAAATGGTATAAAAGGCAAAGATTAATGTCAATGTTACATTTGACACCAAAAATGCATGAAAATCAAATGTTATATTTACTTTTTGTCATAATCCTTTATAAGTTTTGAAAGTTGTAAAACTTTTCTTTTAATAGTAAAATACTTTAAAAATGTCAATATTGTGATGATTAAATGAAAAGGTTAAAATCCATCGATCAAAATCATATATTTGTTATATTTGGTATTAAGTTTGTTAGCAAATATAACATATACGAATTTTAGTACCAACATTGTATTTGTGAGTGAATTTTTTTACTTAAATGTTAAAATTAACGCTGACATACTAAATTAACATTACATTAGGGATACTTCTAGTCTAAATATTAGTTTGACAAAGGGTTAGACGTAGCTCTTATATTGATTAATCATTATAAACTTTGTATGTGCTCGTATTTCATTCCTCTAGTTTTGCTCACTGTAAGTATAAAAAATTTAGGGCGCTTAATCCGTAACATGTTATTTCAATCAATATATTGTCACTTCCTTTTTTCAGCAATATTTAAGCAAATGAAGCTGGCGATCGAAACAACTAGAAGGGACATATTTCGGTGAGAAACACCACAAGGGTGAAGAACGTGAACCACGGTGGCTAAAACAATAAACAAAGTTGACGTGCATGCAAATAACAATTGGCCACACCAAAATGTCTTCGAATTAGAGAATTTATTAGAAAATTCTGCCAAGCTGAGCACATGGCATGTGTCACTGTTAATCAGCTATTATACATACATATATATATATATATATGAATTTATGTTGCCATGTTGTAAAACACGTGATATGATCATGGCTTCACCTCCTAAGTTTCTGTTTCTAATATCTCACAATAAAATTCATCAACAGCTAGCAACAGAACTGCCCTCTAAATTCAGAAAGCGTTATCTCCCCCAGTGACATTTCTAATGTTATGATCACGCGGTTTAGTATTAGTTCTCCAATCGCTTTCATAATTAGTGACTCTAAATCGAAG